AAAAAAATCACTAATACTATATATTTCACAACAGTTAACAAAAAGTGATATCACCTTAAATATATTGACGATTTATAGTTTTATCATTTTTTTTTCATTTCACTGTAATTTAAAAACAAACAATAAACAATAATAAATACTAACCTGAAGGATCCCATCTTCCACCATATTTAATTTATATTGATACGTTGTTGTCCATCACAACAAAATTAAATTTTTTCAAATATAAAAAAAAACTTCAATTACTCGATACTGGAAATTTTTTCTGGCAGAACAATGAAGAAACAATGAAGAGAGAGAAATGTTGAAAAAAAAGAGATAAAATCTGATTTTTATTTGATTTTAACTAGTTTGAGTGAATTAAGGATACTAAATAATCTTAATTAGGTTGGATCCCTTATTTCGTGCCAATTATTAATTATCTACACTAAATTCAAATTAAATTAACACCACAATTTCAATTTTTTTACCTTTTTACCATCAATTCCCTTTTTTTTTTTTAAATTCTTTTTTTATTTTTTTATTTTTTTTTAAACAACTTTTTTCAATTATTAAAAACATTTTTTTTAATAATTTGTTATAACCTGAAATTTTTAATGTTATAACTTTAAAGTCTAAATCTACTGCTATAACTCGAAAATATTAATATAATATATGTCATATATGAAATTTACACTTTTCTTATTGGTTAAACCGAAAACCAAACCGTTAAGGACCAAAATCAATAAATTGAAAATCGATAAAAAATATCTTATTGGTTTGATTATTGGTTTAGCGTGTTTAAAAATTGAAAACCGGTAAACCGAACCGATAATATATAAAACCGAACCGACTGATGCACACCCCTACTCTTACAATATCATTGATAAATGAGTAATTTCTGAACAAGAAACTTTAATGATACCACAACAATATACATATATACTCTTGTATTATCATTGATTAATGAGTAATTTCTGAACAAGAAACCTTAATGGTACTAATACAGTACATATATACTGATTTAGTATCAGTAAAGCGAAATTATCAGCTTCAATAATACCAATACTGTATATGATACTAATTTAGTATCTGTTAAGCGAAAATTATCAATCTTAATGAATGGTGGTGTATGAGCTGTAATTTTTTTTTTTGAGAGAATGAGTATTTTTTGAATTACTTTGGATTGGGTATGAACATGTAATTATTTTGAGTTTTATGACCCATTTATGTAGTTTTTCTTTTTTTATTTTACAACATTTCAATACCTTCTTTCTTGCTTGCTTTGTTTTTTTAAAAAAATTATGAAAAGGAGATTGTTTTAACTCCGCGATCGCCTGACACCTCAAAAAAATATTGACATAGAAAGATAAAAATACAAAATAGAAAAAGAGATAGAGGAGGGAGGTGACAGAGTATATAGGCAAAATGCAAGTATGAATATAACAAATACAATCATATGACACCTCAGTCCTTAAAAAATATAGGGAGACAGAGATGGAAAAACAAAAGAGAAAAATGCATATATAAATCCAATAAATAGAGTCTCCTGACACCTCATAAAAATATAAAAATACAAAGAGAGGTGGAAATACAAGAATTAGGGGTGGGCATTCGATAGTTCGATTCGGTTTCGATTTCTTTTTCTTCAATTTTTTTGATTTTCGGTTATTGAGTTTGTTGTATCAAACACCAAATCGAATTAATTCGGTTCAGTTTGATTTTTTCTAATACGATTCGGTTCGATTCGACTTATTAAATTCAGTTTTGAATGATGTAGTACTATAGTTCGCCTGTGTTATATTGCGTTAGGTGGACGCCGTTTTGTGATAGGCAGACAACACTAGCCGACGGACGAACACTGCAAATTGCTGGAGCCTAAGATTTTGAACGAAAAAAGTGAAAACAAAAAAATTAAAATGAGAAATAAAAAATTGAAACGGACGCTGCGCCTACAACTTGGAGTTGGAAGAGGAGGTGCGGCGGCTGGATGGACACTAGATTGAAATTTGGAATGAAAAGTAAAACAACAAAGTCAAAAATGAAAACATGAGGGATGCTAAGGGTAGAAAAGAAAATATATAGTAATATAATATTAATAATTAAATAATATCTAAAATAGTAATGCATAAATTTTTCGGTTAAACCGAAAAATCGAAATACAAAAATTGTGTTACTGAAAACCAAACCAAAAAATCAAAGTAACAAAAAATATGAACCAATAATGAATCCAAAAAGCAAAAATCAAAAAAATTTGATCCGATTTGATGTTCTGATTTTTTGATATTTATACCCACCCTAACAAGAATTAAAAAAGAGGGCAAAAGGGAGAGAGAAAAAAGGGATACAACCCAAATGTACATATAATTAAGTACAATAAAATTCAGTCGCCTGACAGTAAAAAAATATTGATTCAACGTGTAATTATACATCAAAAATAATTTTTGACGAACAAGTTTTCTCATAAAATTCATCGGTGGAAAATACATGCATTTCTAGCTGTAAATGTCACTCTCATTGGCCAAACCCTCTGCTTTTGATGTTTCTCTCTTTCTTATGGGAGGATATCAAAATTTTCTTCCGAGAAAGAAGAAAAAATGACAAAAAATTGTCCACCTCAAAATTTTATTTTCCCATAAGTCTTGCTGCCAAGTATTTTCATTAGTTAATTTATTATAGGCCCCTCAAGTAATAATATTTCTATCAACTAATGTTGGTTTTTGGAGCATTTTAATATTATACAATTATAGTTAAGATGCACATTCCATTTCTAGAACGTTAGTCTCTTTTGTATTATCCTTGGAATAATGTATTAGGAGGCTTAATTACATTGATTGTGCCGTTTCTGCATTTTCATTTGGTGCACATTATTGTGCCATTGTGCAACTCTACATTCTGCCCGTTAGTGCCATTGGATGCACTCTCTTTATTTCACACTTTATTTCCCATTATTCTTTGTAACCTATGTAACTCCTAAGACCATTATCTTCACTATTTACTATCCCATTATCTTCCTATTCATTGCTAGGAAGACTTCTTGTAGTATAAATAGTGGTGGTCTTCATTTGGTTTGTTACACACAACATATAAGAAAAATATAGAGTGAAAGAGTTAGTCAAAAAGAGAGTTCTTATTAGTTGAAGGAAGGTGTTCTTTTTGTGGAGCTTTGGACTCAACTCTTGTCCAGAGTTGTTGAGTTATATTTTGTGATTATGCTGTTGTATCCTGGAGGGGACAAGTCAAGAAGGACTACTGCTGGACCGGTGAAAACATTTGCTGCAGTGGACTTGAATCTCCTTAAAGAGAGCGCGCGAGATATCCGCGCCTCAACTTGAAGAGATTTATTTCTTCATTTTTATTTTCAATTGTAATCTTGTATTTTTATTATCTTGTAAGTTTTCACTAACTAATAACATGACTCAACTTTTGAGAGACCTAACCTTATTCAGTTGCATATTCAGAGACATGCATTGGGGGTTAAAGGAGTACATAAGTGAGTACTTAATTACAGACTTTTCTATTTGTCATTTTTTACTATTTCATTAAAAAAAAATTATGCATGATTCATAACATAAGAATTCTAGTCATGAGTTGAATCTTGATTTGAGTTCATCTCATGAATATGTCAAGTTTTGTGCCTGATTATTCTTTTTCATTGTTAAGTATATGAAAAAAAATATTTGATATGGTGACGGCGAGATTCGATATGAAGACCTCTGATATATATCATATTAAAGTGTGTACACTTTAATTATTTAATTATATTCTCAATATACCTAACGTGTAACACCATTTTTCTTTTGTTTTCTTTTTAAGATCGACCATGAATATTATGTTGGATGGAAATAAAATTGATTGATTTGTGAACATTTTATTACTCTTTCTTATTTAGAAATGAGACTTGTGGTGTACTAACATAGCTACATAAATTGTACCAAATGCAATGAAAGTTGTATGACAAGAATGGAATGAACAAGGGTAGTAATATACATACGTGTCATTTTTTGGCTTTAGATCTGCTTGTGCAACTATGTGTCACTTGACTGGCACCTCCAACTCTTTTTTCTCTCTTTTTATTTCATCTTGTCAAATATATCTTTAGACTCTTGCTTTCATCAGTTTCATTGCCTTTTGACTCATATGTTTTATTAATTGGTCGTTAATTAATTTTTCCAGTTGAGTTTCACAGTACTATCATGTTCAATTGATCTTGATTTATTATTCCATGGAGCTCCAACTTGATATAGTACCTTTTTATGTGGATTCATTTCTTCTCTGTATTCAACTTCTTCTTCTTTTACAGAATATTGAAGCTCTAATGATGGATTAATATTCTCTACCAGGATGTCTCTCGAGCTCGCTTGAGGGGTTGATTAATCTGTTGGCGTTCTACAGTTTACGGTGAGCTTGAATAATATTTCTTTATTGTTTTCTTTTCTGAAGTCATCTAAAACTAATGTATTGAAATGGGAAGAATTTGATGCAACTAACGTATTTGAAAATACGCCTACAAGAAGTGTTTTTGACGCAACTAACGTATTTGACAATACGCCTTAAAGAAGTGTAAAACAAGTTTATAGCTAAAATTTTGTACAATTTCCTCCTCAAATCTTTTTGTATGACTTTTGTGGTGGTAAAACTGAAAATATTTCAGGCGTGATTACGTTAACAAGATGAATTGTTGAAGGTGTAAGATCTGTGTGAAGCTCATAAGAAAATTCATTTGCTCAAGTTGCAATTACAACCTGAGCATGTTAATTAATTAGCACCTCTGTTGTGCAACTTAATTTGTAGGTCCAATGTTGTATGTTTGTGAGAACTCTAAGCTTCTGCTATAAGAAAGTATTTCAATTTGTTAATTTCAGTACCGATGCGGACATTTGCATTTACTTTGAGCGGAAAGAAAAGCCATTGCAAAGATGAGATATTTTGAATTATACTCTTTCAAACAACTTGATCTCCTAATTTAAAATAGGAAAGAATCTAATAATTTTGTATTGATGTGAATTATGGCCTTACAGGTTCTTGAACAAGCAGAGATGATTGAGCTTTTGGTGTGGTTTAACGATATCAACTCCTTTTATGCAACTTGCAATACCCGTTATGTTTCTTAATGAGACATGATGACTTGATTGTTGAGTGCAGGCACTTGATGGCAAAGCTGCAAGGCACGAGGATGGAGCATGTTTTCCGTGAACAAAACAGAGTAGCCGACAGACTCAAAGGAAGGAGTAAAGAATGCAGCTTTTGATCAGCAAGTGAATGCAGCAGATGTAATAGGAACGGCCTATGCTAGAATTAGGAACAAACCTTTTGGCATTTTTCAGGTTGGGATGTGACCCAAACTATTAATAATGGACCTTCTATGTCAATGGACGGGGAACCTATTGCTACTGACAACTCTTGATATTTTAATATAACTAACCCTTGATCGAAAAAAACTGCCATTTAAACATATATTTTCAAAAAATTCTCAAGGCTTTTGGTTTCTCACATATATACAATCAACTTCTTCATTGAGATGTCATCATATGACTTTGAAAGGGGAAGAATGCATTTTATTGTTCAATTTCAATTTTTGGCTTTTTCTCAGATATCACGATCCTTTGATGTTGGGCGAATGGGCCATGGTCCATCTAGTTGAGTAGCTATATAACAGTTATATAGACTTTAATTTGTTGGTAATGGTTGATGGATAATCCCCAATTTCTTCATTGATGAATAAAGCATAAGGTTCTTCTCAGTGACATATACAATATTGTATCTTATATATAAAGCACTAGTTTTCCATTTAATTTTATTTTCACTTCTTGGGGAATATAAATAGGAGTCACTTAATTAATAGTAGCGCATTTGTTGAAAGATATTCTCCTAGTTGAGATTAAGGCTGGCAAACGGACAGGACCGGATCAACAGGACCGGTTTTATTGGAATCGGTCCTCGTTACCGGATTTTGTTACCGGAACCGGGTCTTACCGGAACCGGTTTTACCGGAATTTTCCAAAGGTTCCATCCGGTCCCTTAGTTACCGGATTGGAACCGGATTGGAACCGGTTTGGACCGGACTGGAACCGGTTCTTACCGGATCATTTTGTACCGGTAATTTTTTTTTTATTTATTAACTTTAATTATTATATAATATTATATTATTAATTAATAAAATTATATTATTAAAAAACTTCAATTTAAAACTTTAAACTTTAAAGTTACTTTAAAGTTTCAATTGAATTTAAGTTTAAACTTTAAACTTTAAAGTTTAAAATTGACTTTAAATTTTAAAGTTTATAACTTTATATTGAATTTAAAGTTTAAAATTGACTTTAAAGTTTAAAGTTTAAAGTTTATATTGAATTTAAAGTTTAAATCTTAAAATTCAATTTTATATTAAAGTTTAAACTTTAAACTAATATTAAAATAGTTGAAAATTAAATTTCTAAAATGACTTGGATTAAATATAAGAGACTATTTTAAAAGAAAATCAAGGCGAATAGCCGTATATTTATTCAAATAAATAAATTGTACAATACAAATATTAGAAAGAGACAAAGAGTACATAATCTAGGTATTGAATATTAATTATTGTACTAACAATTGAAACTCTTTTTAAAATCTTTTCGTAACTTTTGTATCATTTCAAAAGAAACATTTTTTGGAACTTGTATTTGTCGTTCTTCTTCCATTGCTTCCATACCATCATCACTATTATCACCAAATATTTCATCTATTTCGTCTTCTATTTGGCTATTTAATTGTGGTAGTCCGGTATTTCTTCTTTCGGCATTGACCAATCTCGAAACAACACCGATATTTCCAAACTATCCTTTGCTAATGAATATCGATGATCTCCAATCATAAATCTCGCCGCACTAAAGGCTTGCTCCGAAGCGACCGATGATGCTTGAATCGCTAGAACATCTCGAACAATCCTAGCAAGGGTCGGAAATTGATTTTCACGATTCTTCTACCATACTAATATTGGAGCTTGAAGTTGTCCTTCTTCATGCCTAATCTTTTCCCGTGCCTGATTGAAATATAAATCAAAATCATTATTAGTAGATGATTCAAGTTCAAGATAATCATCCATCCAATCATCCGTATCATCGCTTCTAGGTTTACAAGATGGAGGTTCAACTATTGGAATATTTTTTTCCATAGATTTATATGTATTATATAACTCTCTAGCTTTTATATATATGCTACTTTTACAATCTTCAATACTAGGAGTTTCATCATCTCTAATTTCTAAATTTGCATAAATCTTTTCAACCATTCTTTCAACACCTTTTAATTTGTAATTTGGGTTGAAAGTAGTAGCAGTCAAATAGATTTGAGGAATAGGAAAAAAATATTTTTTGAATTTTTCAATCATAAAAGCAAGGGAAATTTCAAATCGATCTTTTCCTTTATATTTTGCAAATTCAGATGAAATAGCACAAATATTTACTAAAACAGAAGAAATAGTTGGATAATATTGACCAGAAGCAACATTTGTTGCTTTATAAAAAACATTTAAAAATTCAATAAGTTCTTTTGTATTTTCCCAATCTTCATAGCCAATTCTCAAATTCGGGTCCGCATTATGAACATTAAAAACTAATTGTACCGGCTCTTGAAAATATAAGCAACTTGAAGCATTTCAAATAAAGAATTTCATCTAGTGCATACTTCTTTTGGAACTTTTCTATATTCAAGTCCATATTCTTTACAACGATTTTTAAATTCTGTAATTCTAGCTTTTATTTTAGCTTTAAAAATTCAATTACAAGCAAGTCTAATTTTTTCACAAGAAATTCCAAATTGAGAAATACCATCTTTTACTATCAAATTATACACATGTGCGGCACACTTAATATGAAAAGAATCATTATCAATTGGACAAAGTCTACATTTTAAATAATCAATTGCTTTCAAATTATTAGAAGCATTATCTAAAGTGACACTCATTATTTTATCACATATTTCATAAAATTGTAAAACAAGACCTATTTTTGTTGCTATATAAGCACTAGTTTTAGTTTCTTCAACATATTTATATCCTAATATTCGTTTTTGCATGTTCCATTCATGGTCAATCCAATGGACAGTAATTGTAAAATAATCATTACCATTAGGACTACGTCCCATATCAAAAGTAATAGATCATCTACCATCATAATAAACAAATAAACAACGAAGAAAATGACAATATTCTTTTTGATATTTAAAAAGATCACTTTTAATTGTACTTCTTGGAATACCTTCATAATCTGGGTTATACAATTCCCGAATATACTGAATAAAACCAGGATGTAAAGGAAATGAAAAAGGCAAACCACAAACAGCAACCATTTTAGCTAATTCTCTACGATCTTTTTCTTTACTATATGTGCGGTGTGTGCTTCGGCTAGCCGAGTTAGTCATATTTAATACACTTTGAACCATATTAGAACCTCCAGCTCCCATAGAATTTTCAGGTTGAGGTATTCCATTTCTATTAGCCCTTTCTATATCATCTAGGCGAGCAAATTCTTTATTACATTTTCTCAAATGTGTTCTTAGTCGTCCCATTCCCCCTTGTGTACCCGTAGTTACATGTTTCATGATCAATTTACATTTCGTGCAAGTAACAGTAGTTTTTTCCTCATTTTGTACCAAAAATTTCCATACTAAAGATCTTTTAACACGTACAACAGTCTTTGAAAAAGTAGGTAAAGAGGAGACTTCATCTTGTTCCGGTAATTCGGTAGCCGGACTAGTAGGGGTAGGGGTCTCATCATCTTCCTCATTTATTTCTACTTCCTCATCTAATTCTTCCTCAAAATTAGTAAAACATCTATTTAAAGTTTCATGATCTACTTGATTTTCGGAATTAAATTCAATAGGTCGTGAGTCTCGTGTAAAAGAAGTTTCATCAACATGAGTATAATCATTAGTATTAATTCTAAATCTAGGAGGTGGCAAATTTTTAGAATTAGAACTACTTCCTCCTTTCCTATTATTTTTTCTTTCCGACATTGGTCTTTTACCACTATATTTTTCAAAATTCATGTTCAAGTTTAAAATAATTAATATTATGAAAAACAAGCAAAGATAATATAACAAAAAAATAAAATAACTTAATTAATAAACAAATAAAAAATTAAAGTTGGAACGAATGTACCGAACGTCTACGTAAAAGTAGACGTATAACCAAAGCCGGAATTGAGAGATGCCAATTGAAGCTTTCGATTTACTTCAAATAAATCTCCGAAATTCGAACTCCAAGTCAATATCACAAAATAATAATTATGAATTTATGAGAGATTGAAAATTAAGAGATTTTATAAGATATTAATGAAATAGTTTGTGAATTTGTAATTTAAATGAAAAAATATGATATATTTATAGTGTTAAGGGGTAGAGAGGGGTGGGGGGGCTGTTTGGAGCCGTTTTGGGCCCCAGCCCAACGGCTAAAAGGGCCCAACGACTCCTTAACGTTCACATTTTTTTTTAAAAAAAAATAATAAAAAAATAATCAAATTAACTGTTGAACCGGACCGGAACCGGTTCTTACCGGACCGGATCAACCAGATAAAAATTCGGGTTTCGTTTCGGTACCGGTTCCGGTACCTATAAGACCGGTTCCTTACCGGTTCAACCGGTACCGGTCTTACCGGACCGGGAACCAAACCGGATCGGACAAAAACCGGTCCGTTTGCCACCCTTAGCTGAGATAGAGCAGATGCATTTGAGAGGAAGAAGAGAATGAATAGAATAGTGAACTGAAATGACCGACTTGACTTCTCATTAGTCACCAAGTGCTATTTATACATTGTACGTCATTAATAAGCTAACTAACTACTTTGTAAACTAATACAATATGCATTTCAACACTCCCCCTAAGTTAGGTGTTGGAATATGTCTTACATTCCCAACTTGAATAACATATCATTGTGTAGTTGCTTTCCCAGTGCCTTAGTGAAAACATCTGCCATTTGCTCTTTGCTGGCTATGTGTGCAGTTTTAATCAGCCCTTCTTGCAATCTTTCTCTAATAAAGTGGCAGTTTATTTCTATGTGTTTAGTTCGTTCATGATACATAGGATTTGAAGCAATCTGTGTTGCTGCTTTGCTGTCACAATAAAGCTCCATGGGTAATTCAACTTGTATGCCAAGTTCCTTCAATAAACCTTGTAACCATACCAATTCTGCTATAGTAGTAGCCATGCTTCTATACTT